AGGGCAAGGTGAGTTGTAGAGTGAGAAGGCTTTTCATGAGTAAAGCAGGGAAGAGGAAGGAACCTTATAATATTTCATCTGAGGGGAATTTGCATATTACAAAACAACCTTCTCTCATAAAAGGTTGTACAGGACTGCATCCCCAACCCCAGGAGAAGGGATTTTTGAGTTCCCATAGGCAACCAGTTCCCAGAGTGGTAAAAGGAAACATGGAACTAGATGTGAGGTAATCAGGCCTTAGGAGAGATGAGCTGATCATGTAAGGGCAAGGACCTCATGTCTTGGGACACAGACTGAGCCTCAACAAACCTTCACCACTTTCATTGGATACTGACTCCTTAAGGAGCTGACCATTCTAACAGTGAAGTGTGACAGAAAATAGGAAGAATGGGGGTAAGATACATGAATGTAATAAAATAGAAGTGAGCTATGAGAGAGCTAAAATTTGATCATTCAGAAGGTCCCTACTCATTATGGACACAGAATATAGAAAGAATAGAGTGACAAAATTTAGACTAGACAAGAAAGGAAAAGAAATAAGGATAAAACAAAGGAAAACTTTTTAAAAGAGGGTGCAGTAAAAAGGATGCTACTTAAATAAGAGATTGGAGATAAGTAGAAGGGAAAAGAGAAAAGATTTAATTTTCCACCTCATATTTAATTGGGTAGAGAGAGAAAAAAGCACAAAATATGAGAAGTAAATAAAAATAAAGTTGACAACATTATCAATTTAAGTAAATTCAAGGAATTTGGGTTACCTCAAATAAATGAAAACTAGGAGAGAGCCTGTGGGAATAGAATAACATCAAGGTAATATAAGCGAAACTAGTCATGAGGTCAAGTACTGAATTTAATAGAGGGATAAAACCAGTACAAAAGAAATAATTGGAGAAAAACACAAGCCTAATAATCATAACCCTCAATGTAAATAGATTAATACAATAAAACAAGAGTGGCAGAATGGATAAGAAAACAAAATCCAACATTCTTCTGTATACAAGAAATTCACATCAAAATAAATATACAGAATAAAATTACAGACTGGAACAAAATTTTCTATGCATCACATGGTTCCAAAAACAAAAACCCAAGAGTTGCAATCACATTACACATCATAGAAGTAAAATTTCATAATGTCAAATGCCAAGACAAATACAGTAACTACATCATGTTTAAAAGAACCATAGAAAATTAAACAATATCAGTACTAAATATATGTGCATCAAATGGTATAACATCTAAATTCATAAAGGAAGTTAACTGAATTTGAACAAGCCATAGGCAATAACATAATAATTGTAAGAGATTTTAGTGTTTTTTCTTTGCAGCTGTAATAGTCTAACAGAAAGATAAACAAAAAGGAAAATACAGAATTTTAGAGAAGTTAGAGTCAAAAAACATATGCCATCTTTTGGATGGGAGCATTGAAGAATGCTAGGACAGAGAAATTGTAAATAAATGTAAAAGAAACAGAAATACTGAGCACATCTTTTATGTACTATAATGCAATGAAATACAGGTATCCCAAAAGTTCTTAGTGCAGTTTTAAGCCTTAGTAACTTTGTTTTGTTTAGCTTTATAAACTACCCTCTTGGTAATTTAATTGGTCTATCATTAAATTTATAAATTAATTTAGGTAGTAGCATAATTTTCACCATATTGATGTAATATTTTTCATGTTGGTATAAACTATAGGCAACAAAAGCTTAAAACTATGCCAAGACTTTTGGAATAGAATGGAGAAAACAGAGGTATACCAAAATGAAGACTTGATAATGACATCATACATAATGATTAGACCAAAGAACGAAACATAAAAAATTAATAACCATGAAAGAGAATGAAAGCAATTAGACAAAATAACAAAATCTCCGAAAGGCCACCACAGACCTTAGAGGAAATGGTTATTTCTCTGAAAATATACATTAACAATAGAAAAAAAAGAGAATTAATGAACTGAGTGTGTAATTAAAGCAACACTAATGGGATGTTGCTAGGAGTGGGTCAGGAAGAGCTATATAAGGGAAAAGGGTATACAAAAATAAAATATATCTAGTAAAATATATTTTGATTTGTTTAAACTAGAATATCAGCAATAAAAAATCCAAAATAAGCACAGGAAAGAAAATCTTAAAAATTAGAGTAAGTAAACAAAAAGACTGTAAAAATTATAAGCAAAGCTAAAACCTGGTTCTTTGAAGACTAGCAGAACTGATAAACTTTTTGCTAACCTAATTTTAAAAGAAAGAAGAAAAACAAATTACCCAAGTCAAAAAGAACACAGTGAAATAACAACAGAGAAGAAATAAAGAAAATGATCAGAATCTATTTTTCACAATTACATATTGGCCAAACAGAATTTAAAAGAAATGGAGGATTACCTACAGAAGTATAAAATGCCAAAATTAACAGAGCATGAAATATGGATCTTATGTAACCCAATCAAAAAAAGTAATATTGAATAAGACACAAAGGACCTAAAAGAAAAAAAATTAAAATCCTAGTCCAGATGAATTTAGAGACAAGGTATAGCAAACAATTAAAGAGTAACTGATACCCATGCTACACAAATTATTTCCCAACTTGAGAAAGAAAACATTTGATATTTTTAATATAGTCCTCTCACCTAAACCAGGGAAGGACAAAGCAAAAAAAGAAAACTTTAGGCCAGTCTCACTAATTAATTGTTGTAGATAGCTCCCGGTAAGCAAAGCAGGATCAGCTTCTTATCTTCAACTTAAAAGTGTTAGAGCGTTGCTTGGGGAAACTGAAAGGTACACTCCAACTGGGAAAGACAATACACACAAAGGAGTTGAAAAGAGGGTAGAGTAGATAGATACCTACCCACAAGAGTGTCGTCTTGGAGTCCAGAAAGTCAGAATCAGAGCCAAGAGGGGGATGAAGTTTGGCTGTCCTGGGCCTCTCCCCAAAATGGAGACCCTGGGAGGAATTTATTGATGAGAGAAGGAGGGTCGGCAGCATGGCAGAGAAATGTTCTAGGGGGAGAAGGTTTCAGGGGTGGGTGGATATTCCAGGATGAGGAGGCCCCCAATGCTGAGGGAAGTCCCAGGGGAGATTGTGGCTGAACTATCCATGGTGCTTGCTGAGGTCCAGAAAGTCAGAAGCACAGTCAAGAGAGACTGAGTGAGTAGTTGTCAGGTATGTTGGAGTGGAAATTTCTTTAGGGTTTGTGTCGGACCAGACCTGTGCTTGAAACCCCCACCGACTCACAAATTCTGTGATTCTATGATCCTTTGTGTCCAGTTTTTTGTTACTGCAAAAACATTGCTATAAATACATTAGTGTGTTTGTGTTTTTATCTGTATATGTATGACAGTACTATGGATGTAAAATACTTGTCAGATTTGGCCAGTATATTCATTTGTTTTGCTAAACTTTTTTTTCCTCTTTCTTTTTTTCTTTGTTATAAGGGATGATTCTCTAGGAAGAGGAGGGGGAAATACATTGGGTAGTATAGGTGATGAAAAAACAAAAGACATCAATACAAATTTAAAAATATTCTCTCCCAGGTATAGTCATGAAATGTATTGAATCTCTTGAGGACCTGCTGAAAGGGTCCCAGGGACTCCCTGAGTCTATGGAACATACTTTGAGAACTGCTGCATTAGCTCATGAGCTAGACATTCAGAGGAAATGAAGGACGTATATATATATACACACACATATATAATATATATATGTGTGTGTATGTATACATATATATGTCATTTTTAGTCATGTCCAACTCTTCTTGACCCCATTTTAGGGTTTTCTTGGCAAAGAAACTATACTGCTTTGCCATTTCCTTCTCCAGCTCATTTTACAGATGAGGAAACTCAGTCAAATAGGGTTAGGTGACTTTCCCAAGTTCACACAGCTAGTAAGTGTCTGAGGCTGGATTTAAATTCAGGAAGGTGAGTCTTTCTGACCCCAGACCCAGCACTCTATCCACTGTACCCCATAGTTGCCTACCTCTGTCTCTCTCTCCCTCTCTCCCCCTCTTCCTCTCCCTCTCTCTCTTCTTCTCATGTTCTTCCTCATATTCATGTGTATACACACACCTTCCTTAGCACATATGCCTAACAACAGCATATAATTCCAAATTGCTTTCTAAAATGCTTTCATCGATTAATTCACAGTTACATCAACAGAATCACATCGTGTTTTGCATTATCTGTACCTTGTTTTCCAGCCAGACCGTAACTTCCCTGAGGGCAGGGACTGCCTATGCTACTAACACAGTGCTGGACCCTCAGCCCAGTATTTGTTGTGTACCTTGCGGACTTATTTTGTCAGACTGGCTATAGCTGATAGTCTGCATGTAAAGGGTGTATTTGAACGTGTCCTAGTTCCTTCCATTACCCAGTGGGATGTCTTGCCAGCTGTCTATAGGAAACTCTGCCCAGTGGTCTGGCATTATAGGAATCTATCCAGCCTGCTTCATGGAATTTGTCAGGCAAGCCCTCATTATAAGGATAAAGTCATGCTAGAGATGAAAGCTCTTTGCTCCTTGCCTTCATTCCTCACCTTTCCTTCTGCTTTTTACAGGCATATTGGCCAGGGATTGAGTCTCATTATAGAGAAGAGCTGCTCTTGCTCGCGCTCTGTCTCTGTCTCTATCTCTGTCTCTGTCTCTGTCTCTGTCTCTGTCTCTCTCTCTGTCTCTCTGTCTCTCTGTCTCTCTCTCTCTCTCTCTCTCTCTCTCTCTCTGTCTCTCTCTCTCTCTCTCTCTCTCTCTCTCTCTCTCTTTCTGTTTCTCTCGTCTGTCCTCACCTGGGTCTACAGCCAAGTACATCAGGCCCCTTTTCAGAAAAAACCTTCTGGCTCCCTTCATAAAACATTAGCCAGATGGTCACAGAATGATCAGTCTTGGATCAGCTAAACTGGTTGGTTCTAGTCTGTCCACTTTGTATAGACCCAGTTTGTTTGTGCCTGGGAAAAGGCCAGACAATTTTCCCTCATCTGGTATTAGCTCACACGTGTTTTTCCTTTTCCTACAGATACCAATGTGATACGGTATATCCAACTGACAGAGATGAAACTCAGCAGATGTTCCCAGAGAGAGAAAGAAGCCTTGTAACCAGGAAGCTTCCTTCAGAGATGGACCCATGGTGGACATTGTGCTTCCAGGGGCCCAGCAGGTGGATTCCCCCTTCCTGGGTTTGGTCCCTTTCCTGCACCTCTCCCATCTTCCTTCAAAAGCCCCCTTAACTCTTTGTTTACTCCCAGTATGAAGAGAAAGAGAGAGAGCAAGAGAAGCCAGCTTAGAGCCTGGCCAGTTGCCAGAAAATGGTCAAAGCTCCCTTGATGAGATGAAGCCTGAAGAGGAGATTTGTATCAGAGTTGGTGGTTTTCACTGCCGGGATCATGCCTTTAAGTCAATTCATCTTAAAGTCTTGAGTCTTCACCTTGAGTCTGTAGGCTTGTCCCTTCTGATCACCTCCCTGATGGACTAAGCCATCCCTCCCCAGTCCTAACAGACACATCTGGAAGATGGGCACAGAAAGAGCTGGAGACCCCAACCCCCTCCTAGAGGGATATAGATGTGTACACCAATTTCCTTCCCCCTCCCACACTCCTGTTCTTGGCTCCTGTTGCATTCTGTGTGCCCCATATCCCAAATCTCTCTTTGGGGTTCTAGGACTCTGTTACAAGCTCATCTGACACTGAAGCCCCCACTAAATGCCTTCTCAGTGAACTTACATCCTATTTCCACATAGTAACTTTGATGGCAGACAGGAGCAGGTATGGGAAGATTAGGGCAAGGGAAAGGGTGAGGGAAGGGAGACAGTGAAGCAAAAGCTGAAAAAGCTTTGTATAAATCAGGGGATAAAACTATGGACTAATGAAGTGCAAATAAAAATAAATTAATAGGTGATAATTCCTGTCATTTCTTTTTGAAATAGCCCCCCCCCCCGACCATTTTCCCAACCCTCACCCCATACGTGAAGTCAAGGATGTACTTACATGGCACTAGCTGACCTTCAGAGCAGCTCACCATTTGCTTAGTACCCTGTGCAATTGCTTGTACTCTGTACTATGTGTCCTCTGCAGAGGAGTCTACCCCCAGCATGTGTACTCCCAATCCAATCCAACAAGCATTTATGTAAAGCACCTACTATGTTCTAGGACTGTTTTAGGTGCTGGGGACACAAAGACAAAATAAAAATAGTCCCTGCCCTCAAGGAGCTTGCATTCTTCCCTTCCTTAACCTAGGTATAACCTAGTCAAGATTGGATGGATAGACTTCAGTTGAGTGATGAGTCCATTTTTGGATAGCTATAATTGTTAGGAAGTTTTCTCTTACTTTGAGACAAAATCTGTCTCCTTCCTTCTTCTGTCCATGGGGCTTGATCCTGGGCCAAACAAAGCAAATTGATCTCTCTCTCATATAATAACCCCTCAATGTCCACCATCAAGTTGTGTCTTCTTTAGGCTAAATATCCCCTGGCTGGGTTTCTAAGTATCCTCATCATCCCGGTTCCCCTCCTCAAGGCATTTTACACTTTGACCCTGCTTTCCTTAAACTAGGGTATTTCGAGCTGGGCTCACTATTCCAGATGTGTTCTGAACAGGAGTCAACACAACGTCATTCTCCCTTCCTACATCTGGACATCATGCCCTAGGATTGTGTTAGCTCTTCTGGCAGCCAAGCACACTGCTGACTTCTACAGCACTTGTAGTCTACTAAAAATTGCCAGGTCTTTGTCAGATGGATTGCTTTCTGGGCTTATCCTCCTCACCTTGTAGTTGTGCAGTTGGCTTTTCTGAGCCTAATGTCAGGACATTATGCTTACCCTTATTAAATTACATCTTAGCTTCAGCCCAACATTCTAGCCAGCTGAAATCTCTTTGGATCCCACATCTTAGATTCCATTGCATTATTGATCCCACCCAGCTCAAGGACAACCATTTCATAAAACCTGCTATATGATGTGTTTTTTCCATTGACACCGATATCCGTTCTGTCTTTCCTGATCATCTTTATAGCCCACCGATTCTCAAGCATTTTGGTCTCAGGACACCTTTACCTTCTTAAAAATTATTGAAGACCCCAAAGAGCTTTTCTTTATGTGGGTTATAGCTATCATAATTTACTGTATTAGAATGGTAAAAATAGATAAAATTTTAAAAATATTTATTCATTAAAAATAGTAATAAACCCATTATACATTAACATAAATGACAAATTTTTATGAAAAATACTATTTTCCAAAACAAAAAAAAATTAACTGAGAAGAGTGGCAGTGGCATTGTATTACATGTTTTTGCACATCTCTTTAATGTCTAACTTAATAGAAAACTACTAGGTTTTCACATTGGCTTTTGCATTCAATCTATTGTGATAGGTTGTTTTGGTTGAAGTTTATGAAGGAAATCTGGCCTCACACAGATACGGAGTTGGAAAAGGGAGGAGTAGTTTAGAAGGCAAATAACATCTTAGTATTAGTATGAAAGTAATTTTGCCCCCAAGGAAGTCCTGAAAGGATCATGGGGCCCCTCATGGGTCCATGGAATACACTTTGAGAGCCGGTTGTGTTAAGCCATGATCAAGACATTGAGAGCAAAGGCATGGAGACTGAGTCTCATCTTTGATTGTCCTTAGCTCAAGCTCAACAGTAGTTCATGGTTATATTGCACTTTACAATTTACAAAGCACTTTCCTCACAAAGATCCTATAAGGCAGGTAGTGCAAGGACTGTTATCTCTGGTTTGACAAATGAGAAAACTGAGAATCATCAAGATTAAATATCTGTGAGGTAAATCAATCAGTGAGCATTTGCTAAGTGCTACTGGGGGTACGAGACACTCATAAAACTTTTCCCATCCTCAAATGCAAGGAAATTTTGGTAGGGCAGGTCCTAGCAGTAGAGGGAATCTGGAAAGACCACATGTAGGAGGAGGTGGTACTTGGGCTGAACTTGGAAGAAGGCCAGGGTTCTAAGAGGGGTGGCTGAGTGGTGCAGTGGAAAGAATATCGACCCTGGAGTCAAGAAGGCTCATCATCCAGAGTTCAAATCCAACCTCGGACACTTACTAGCTGTGTGACCCTGGGCAAGTTTACCTCTGTTTACCTCAGTTTCCTCATCTGTAAAACGAGCTGGACAAGGAAATGGCAAACCATTCCATTATCTTTGCCAAGAAAACCCCAAAACGTGGTCATGACCGAACAACAATGGGTGATAAAAAAGGATTCTAAGAGATGGCCAGCTTTTTCTTTGGTTCCTAAGCACTTAGCCAGGAAGTACTTAATAAATGGTTGTTGATTGATTCATTGCCTTCTGATTTGAGGTGCAGCCTCTTTCTATCACACCCTGCTGCTTCTTCTTACCACTCCCTATCCTGTTGGACAGCCTCAAAAAAAAAAAAAAAGACCCAGGTCAAAGCAAAGTCCCAAGATATTAGCCCTCTGCTAAAAGAGGGAGTGGTCTGCTGCCATTTCTACTCTCCATGCACACAAAGGACAGAGCCATGGTCTCTAAGCAATACCTGGGTTGCTCTCAGGGGTGAGCATTCACTATACCTGGCCCTCTGGTACTAAGAAGACCTCCACATCTTATTGGAGTAAATCTACCAAAATCCATGTGATGTCCTCAGTTATCCCCTCCCCTTCTCTATGAAGTGTATTAGGACCTACGGCTGAGCCAGAGTGCATGTGAATTACCTGAAGAGAACTAAGTCAGGTAGAAAGTTCCAGCCCATTTGCTGGGCGTGTTGAAAAGTCATAAAACGTTAGGCCCCGGATCATCTTAACCCCGTTGCTTCATTTTACAAGGGAAACTCACGAGGGTGGACGTGTCTCAGGTCACAGCTAGCTCAGTGCAAAATCTAATTAGAGCCCAGTTCTCCTGACTTCTTTCTCCTGATACTTCTCCCTATCACCAGATGCTGTTCAAAACTTGATTGGTTGAAGCTGTGTGGCGCAGGAACACAGTCAAGTCCTGAATGAGTGCTTGCTAATAACAGCCAAAAAAAAGTATCCAGCATGATCTCAGTTTTTGTAGCATCATAGACTTGGAGTTGGAAGACATTGGGATTAGTTGATCTGATCTAACACCTTTTTTTAAGAGATGAGGACACCAAGGCCGAGACAGTCTGAGTGATTTGTCCAAGGACACACAGGCAGTAAATGGCAGAGACAGGAATCTAATCCACATTTCTCTGATCCAGCATTCTTAGCGTGTGGAGCGACTGTCAACAATCAGTTATTTTTACCACATTGTACTTAGGTAGCAGACAGATTCAGGAGTGGTGAATCCCATGGGCCAGTGGGATTACCAAGCTTTGCAACCAACCAGGCAATTTAATGCAGTGGTAAGAATGTAGGATTTGGAGGCTGGAGACAGCTGGACTTCAATCACATTATAGCTGTAAGCTATATCTAAGGCAAGGTGACTGGGACTTTTTCCAGGGGGCTAAAATTTAAAGAGTGCAAATAACGTGGTCCCAGAGACGTGCTTCTTGTCCCCTTCTGGAAGCCGTACCCCCAGTGAGTTCTCCCCACCTCCACTTGTCCCAGACATAGAAACTAGTTGAGTCCTGAAACTCGCTCGCTGTGTGATCATGTATAAATCATTCAACTTCTCTGAACCTCAGTTTCTTCATTGGAAAAATAGGGATAATAATACCTAGAGTACTTAACTTATGAGGTTGCTATGAGAATCCACTGAAATAACATACATGTAAAAAGTGCTTTGCAAATCTTAAAGCTTTACATAAATGCCAGCTATCATTATTAATATTATTACTACTAATAAGAATTTCATTCTCATCTTTTTGGATGCAGTTCAGATAGAAAGGGTCCTGGGACAAGACACTATCCTGCTACTGTATTTTAAAATCTAATGTTCTGTGAAACCTTGCACAAGTGGATAAAATACTCGTTCTTTGTAATTGAATAAAAATATTGGAATGTAAGCTTATCTTCTATGGGCTCGCTGAAAGTATGTTTGAGACAACTCCAGTAGCAGACAAGATGAAGGCGGTGATGTATACCCCATTCCATTCCCACATGAATTTTATTTTGTCTGCTCCATTTCTAAATTTTGAAAGCATGTTGTTCCATGTAGATTGAAGATTAGGATATTTGTTTTCAAAAATTGGTATTAAGTTTTTATGGATCGCTGTTATGTCCGTGTGATTGTGGGCCACACACAGTTCGGTCTGTGAAAATGATATGTCCAATAGCTTATTGGCTTAGATTGCCAAGATCTTTTTTTTGGGGGGGGGGGGAGGAAGGGGTGCGGGTCCTGTATTTATAGTATGAGAATCTGTCATCTACCAAGCTACAAAAGACTGAGCAAGCTTCTGATGCATAATTCTAGCCACCAGATCAAGCCTTGCTAAGTATTCAGTGGGTGCTACATTTTTACAGTCTATATGGTTGTGTGGCATAGTTTCTATGCCATTTCCCTGTATCATTTACCCTGATCACTGAGTCTGAGCTTCTGTAGGATGACCATTCTGTAATTTCTGGTGGCTCTGTTCTTTTTCTGAATTGCTATCTTAAACCCCTCCATTGCCCCCCCCTCACCCCCCCCCAAAAATCTACACGACAGCAATTTATTTAATGCTTCCTCAGTGACATTGGAATTGACACATGTCATCCACGAAGCACTTTCTTATTCCATTTTAGACATTAGCTGTTTCATAGACTCCATCTGACGGTAAATCACTTTAAATTACATTCAACAGATCCAATAGCATTTACCTGTTATCAGCCTTTACTCAGCAAAGTGATGTCTGCTTGTTCTAAAAGTATTTCTGTAAGTTTTTGACCTGTAAATTATGTGCTCTAAAAATATCCATCGACAAAAGGCAGTATAAATGTTACAGCACTTTCATGTGGTTTGTTCAACAATTACCGAATCACGAATAAGTTTCTTTTTACGATCCTAGGACTTTTTGGCACACATTTTTGATCAGCCAATATGTTGTTTTCTTATGTGTTTCTAGATTTTTTTTTCATGATACTGTAAATGTGTCTTATAAAGTACTTCAGCATGTAATTCACTTATATTTGAAGGAGTCATTGGTGTTCTCATCTTCTGGTAACAGATATGTGATGCTTTCTGTTAAGCTGGTAAAGTGCCTTGCTAATAATTCATGCTCTACTAAGGGACATCTGAGCCAATAATTATGGATCTTATTGATGATGATGATGGATGATGATGACGATGATGATGTTTTCATCTTTATGTTCAATGAAGTACAGATAGAAACAGTCCTAGAACAAGTCACACTATCTTGCTACTATTATGCTTTTATGTTTCATGTTCAGCCTACTATTGTGCAAGTAGATAAAATGATTGATTTTTTTTGTAATTGAATTAAAGTGTTGGGATGCAAATTCATTTTCTGTAGACTCACTGAAAGCATCTTTGAGACAAGTCCAGTAGCACACAGAATGATGCTGATGATTTCTCCCTCTCTTCTTGCCTTCCCCCCTTCTCTCCTCTCTCCCTTCTCTCCTTCCTCTCTTCTCTCTACAGCTTCCTTTTTTTTTTGTTAGTCCCACCTTCCCAGTCACAAAAAAAAATCTTGGGATCCAAGTAGTAATTATTCCTTTGGGGGAAGGGGAATGTGAAATGGGGGGAAGGGGAAGATGGGCCACAGAGAACGAGCGCTAAGTCATATGGGCTTGCATATTCAGGGGCACATTGCTCCAAGTCCATTTAAAGCTACTCTGTGTCACCAAAATAAGGTAATAATATGGAGTTTTTCATCATTTTTGGTTGTGGAAGAAAGGCAGCAATCTTAGAATCCCCAGAGAAGCTGGCTCCTGGCCCAAGATAAATACAAGAAGAGGGAAGGAAGGAGGTTATAATTGAGTCGAAGAGATATTCACGACTTTTAAATAAGACATTAGAGTTCTCGAGGTTAGAAAAATCTGAAACAAAAATCTACAGGAGAGAAGAAAAGCCTTTATTATGCTTCTCTCAAGAAGAGGGCACACCGCACCATAATGGCACATGCACACTGGTACAGAGGTAGAATCAACTTTGAAATGGTTAGTATAATCCATACTCCTCCCGTCTGAGCCTGAGATCGGACCAGCTCATTTGAATTACACTCTTCCTGAACTGCCCATCCCATGTTCCTCCATGTTCTGTTAACTCCTCCCA